CATGCACATAGCATATCTCAGTGATGCCAATAACTCTAGCTGAAAGCATTCTGAAAGCAGGATTGCAAGAATATGAACTGTTACAGATTACACATATAGAACATACTTACGACTGGCTTTATGAAATTAGGATGTTTCTATGTTGACACAGTCTGCCTGCCAGTACATCTAGTTCTTTTAAAACATAGGCCCCCTGTATTAACTTTGGAAGCCATCACCTTGTTCCATACAACTTTTTCCAAGTAGCTGAGCTCTCAATGCAATCATATTCCAATGAACAGCAATGATCCCTTGAGACAACTAAAGCTAACACAGCAAAAAGGAGAAGCAGGGGAAGGGAGGTGACATAAAAATAAATTATTTAATATTTCTGAAGTGTTTCAACTATTGCAGCAGTAAGCACTACAGAAAAAGCTTATAAGCTTATACAGGCCAATATGCTTTTACATCTATGGAATACTGAAAGATGCAGTGTATCATAATATTGAATAGGAAGAATAAAGTAGAATATTAGATAGATGGAACTAGAAACTCCTACTCAATCTTTTCCCAGCTGTCTCAGGAACCACTTCATGCAAACTCCTATCAGATCAGGCTTCACCCAAGAAGAGGTCAGGTTTAAGGGATGACATGAGTATGACAGAAGCCCCTTTTTCCTCACATTTGTTTTACAGCTTCCTCTCTACCTAGCATACTAGTTTCAAGTCCAACAAACAGAAATACTTCTTCAAACCAGTACTTGCCTTACTTAGGTACCTCCCAGCAGCCAGGCAGCCCAAACCTTCTGATGAGCTCAATCCCAGGTGTTCAGAAGACCTTTAATAGGGCCCTGAGGGCACTAATAAGCATTTAACAGTCCTGACCAGCCTCACCTGGGATTTAATGGTCCTGACCAGTCTCACCTGGGACACCCCCACACCCCCTCTGCCCATAGGCCTGGGAACTCTATTTAAGCCCTGCCTTGGGCCTTCAGCTTCTTCTTGGCAGTGGAGTAGGTGCCTGTCTGCAGTCCTGTCCTTGCCTCCTGGATAGACAAGTGGTGCCACAGGTAGTTTCTCTTCTAAGTGATCCCTTCAGCTTTATGTTGTATCTTGTCTGTAGTTCTGTCCAGCTTGACTTCTAGTTCTCTGTTCCTTAGGGAATAACTGCCTCTTGCTATTCCCTGATAGCAATCTCCTGAATAATTATTATCTACTTATACTTTTACCTTGCTTTCTAGGGTGTGGAAAAAAGTCAATGTAGTTTAGCTGAATCTGCTCTGTTTCAGTGTGATCCAGGGTATCCTGCAGTCATGTATTGGGCATAGAGCACAAACTTCTGGGACCTACTTTTAAGGAATGTGCTCACTTATTTTAGCAGGGAATAATGAGCTAGATATGCCTGTTTTTCTGGTCTTGGTGTTGTGCCTTTCTTTGACTCTCACCTTCTTCCCTACCCTAAGTAGCTATCTTATTTCCCATTTTATCTTATAACTTCCTATATAACATTCTTGTTCCTTCCTGCACTCTAATCATTGACTGCCTCCTCTATCTCTTCCTTTTTAACAGAACAAATTGTTCTTCTCTGGTTACTTGCTGCCTACTCTTATGTTCTTGTTTTGCTTCTTGCTTCACTGCAACAGGCCTCTTCTGCAGCTCAATTTCTCTGCCACTAACTGATCTTGCTGCTGTGTTGACTTATGGCCATGAATCGTTTTCCTTATGTACATACCTTTTAAGGTGTCCATCTGCCCTGTTCTCTTTTCCTGCTCTAGAAGCCTCTCTGTACCTCACTGTAGCCTCACATTATGTTCTTATTTGTTTTCTTCTATGAATGATGTGAAGTACCAATTTCTCTGCCACTAACTGATCTTGCTGCTGTGTTGACTTATGTCCATGAATTGTCTTCCTTATGTGCACACACCTTTTGAGGTGTCCATCTGCCTTGTTCTCTTTTCCTGCTCTTGAAACCTCTTTGAACCTCACTGTAACCTCACATTATGTTGTTCTTATTTGTTTTCTCCTATGAATGATGTGAATGAATTAATATGAATTAACAGCTTCCATGAATTAACCTACCCACAGGTAAAATATATGGTGGATTGACTTTCTCTCCCATTATCTTCCACTACTGCTCTTCAAATCCACTGTATATTATTTTCCTTGGCTTTACCTATACTCCTGAGGTTTCTCCTCAGACTTTCTAACATTCCCTATAAAAATTTCATCCCATCTCCTGTACTTTCTCCTACCTGCTCGCTAGCTCTCCTGTTTGCAAGGTGTTTGGCTTTTCAAGGCTTTTGTCCAAGCCTGCTATCCTTGTATGTATAGGTTTTGTGGTCCTTTGTTCAATAGCAGGAGTCATTGGCAGGAAATTTTCTTTATTCCTCTGCCTTACTTGCAACATGTGATCCCTTCATAGTCTTTGCAAGCTGCAGCATGTAATAAAGTGCATCAGTGGGCAATGGCCAAATTAATGCATTTACTTACCTCCAAAGAACAATCTGATTCCTCCTTCACTGAACTTTCCAGTCTACTCTGAATAATTGTTCATGAGTGTTCACACCATCTGTGCTGTGCACTGTGTAAGCACAGGATCCTGTGAAATAATGAATATTTGATCAGTCACTCAAGGCTAAAATAAGATTGCATGGCTAAATTCTGCTATTTCCCAACTTTAGAAGGCTTTCACAGCATGACTTCAACATTCATTTCATGTTTTTTTTGTATACAGTAAATGTGCAGTTTGAATGTGTTTTACAAGACAGGCTATTTTACACTGGCATTTTGATTAAAAAAAGACTGGCTTCCATGGTTTTTATTTTTGCCCATTTTGGGATGAACTGTAAAGCACAGATACCATCTCAAGTCTAGGGGCAGTAAGATCTGCAGTTCTGGATTTTTTTTTACCTCATTTTACTCTTTCCATACTCCTGAGGCCTTTTCTCTGTCCTATGGCTTCTGTGAAGCACTTGCTGCTTTTAAGTCATTTTGTGACACCCTGTAGGGGGGAAAGTTATAAATCTGAAAAGCCAAAGCCCAATGAGGAGGCACTCAACACCCTCAACTTAATATTTTTCTTCTTTGTCTCTAACTTGTCATCCAATTCAGCACTTTGGACGTGGAAATGTGACTTGTCCGAGGGCCTGGAGAGGCATCGTGCTGTGTGCTGTGTTCTCCTGGGGGTTGCTGGGGCTGGGCCCAGCAGGGACGCACACCCTGGAGCCTGTGCTCAGCCTGCTGTGAGGAGGCACCAACTGCTCTGCACCCAGCAAAGCTGCCAGCTGGCCAGAGAGGGGCGATGGCATCAGCTGCAGCCTGGCCCCTTTGCTGGCTGTGTGAAATAGCTGCTCTGGGAGGATTAGAAACCAGGAGACCGGAGAGCAAATTGCTGCAGGGAAATGGTTTGGGGGGCAGGGGACGACATTCAGGCAATTGCTCTTTTTAACATTTCTCTCTGGACCCCAACTTACCTGCAGTGCAAGAGGGGGTAGGGGACAACTGCAAAGGGAAGCCTGACTTTCAGGAAAGGCTATAGAAAAACATAGCTCACATTAGTGGTGAGATTAAAGGATTAGATTCACACTCCAGGCGAAATGAAACCTCAGCCTCTGCTTTTTGTACAGCACGCAGCAGGCCAGAGCTGCAGAAGGCAGTGGGTACAGAGCATCCTCAACGGGGCACAGAGGGAGGGGAGTCTTTGCTCCCCGATTTCCTTGGATTGCCTGCTTTAGTACACGTGTGTCTCTGCATGAAATACATGCCACTAACTGGCAGCTTCTCCTGTAACAAGTGTAGGACAAGATTGTCAGCTATGGCTCCGCCTTTTCCCTTCTCCCACTCCCTATGCTGGATGTTTCCTCAAAGTCCCTCATGGGAATCTTCCTTTCTCTGCAAGGCACTGCAGACAGATGAGAATCCCTTAACTGAGAACAACCCTTCTATATAATTCCTCTTTGAGTCAAGTACAGTCTTGTGTGTCAAATTGGACTATATCATAGACATAGCTGTTATTTTTCTGATGCGTTAAATGATGTGAGAAGAGAACAAATTTCAAAAGCACCTTTCCTTTTCAAGGCTGGACCAGGTCTGTTTCAAAGGTATCCAAGATTCCTGGTGTGAATACCAGTTTCCAAAACTGACATATATTAGAATGTTTCCATGGTAAAATTTATTTTTATAGTCTCAGTAGGGGCAGGTAAGCATGGAGGAAGCAAGCTCTTTTTTTTTCTTTTTTTTTTCCCCCCAAAGTGAAATTTCAGGATCTTCAAGCAAACAGTCACAGGGAAAAATCACATTATTCAGATAACTTTCATTGGACTTTTTGCAACTTCTCCTTTGTTTTCCTCAGATATTTTGTGAACTGCTATTTCCTAGTTTCTCTCGGTATATATACTCAGATTTTGTAGTTTAGCCCTATCTGCTGTGCCAACTTTTTACTGCTTTTTACCGTTGAACATCTTCCAATTTCTCATTGTTATGAAACAAGATGTTCAGAACTGAACACAGCATTGCAACTACAATTTCTTCTTGCAAGCAAGAAACAACTAATTATCTCTTTCAGGATGCATCACAGTGCTCTTGCACAGCATACAGATTTCACCAGCCCTCTTCTGCCTACTTCTAAATATTCCTTGCATATTCATCTGCCAGGCAATAGGTGCCTGTTGTACTTAGGTCTCTTCAAACATCTCTTTCTGAGGTCCTTCCTATCACAGAACAGGGGTGGTTCAGTTTGTTAATCTGCAAGTATATCAGCTGGTATTTTTCCAGTATTAATAGGTATTTTTGACATTACTAACTATGCTAGGAGACCTTGCATTACTTACCTCGTCAATGTCAAATATAGTCCCACACTTTCTTGTAGTGGCTGTGGGAGATGGAAGCTCCAAGCTCTGTGTGTTTCTAAGAGCCAAGCAGCTCCGGGAGTTGTGCAGGAGACCCACATCCCCGCAAGGCTGGCGGGCCCTCCACCTCCTTGATGCTTTTAGCTATTTGAAGGTGTTTTCTTTCCCCTGGCAGGTCCATGGGAAGTGCATGTGCAGACACAACACAGCGGGGGACCACTGTGAGAAGTGTGCACCGCTATTCAACGATCAGCCTTGGAAGCCAGGAGATGGAAAAACAGGGGCACCAAATGAATGCAGAAGTAAGTCGGAGGGAGTTTGCTAACCCGGGATTTCAGGGTGGGCAATTGCCACTCAACGAGGCGAAGCTCCACAACAGACTTCCATCAATTTATGTTAAAGGTGCCCTTACAGCAGATCGCAAACTGCAAGTTGTTTTCTCATGCACTTTGTTTCCCTGCAGCTGATCCCTCTGGGCTCTTTGGAAGCAGAATTCACAGGCACAAATCTGGTCTTCACATAGTTCTATCTCCTTGGGCATTTTAGTATTCTAGAGTTTTGCACAGGACCTAGGATACCATCAAGCTGGCTGGTCTCAGTATCAGAACACCCTACAGTTCACAACCATCCAAGCTCCCCAGGCCTTGCTAGAATAAACTCTGTAGTGAAAAACTTCCTGTTTTAAACAAAAAAAAATCAAGGATTGCAGATAGAGGAAATACATTACATTCAGGTACATTTCCATGAATCTTAGTAGGAATATAACATCATTTAAATAGTATTGCTGGGCCTACTTCATAAATCTGAGCTGTTTTCCTGGTTCTCGCAGAGTGTCGCTGCCACAGCCATGCTGATAGCTGCCACTTCGACCTGAGCGTGTGGCTGGCATCGGGAAAGCGCAGCGGGGGAGTCTGCGACAACTGCAAGCACAACACAGAGGGACACCGGTGCCAGCGGTGCAAACCGGGGTACTACCGAGATAGAAGTAAACCCATGTCTTCTGCAGAGGTCTGCAAACGTAAGTGATCGCTGTCACGTGCAAAGGAAAGGGGAATGAATGTGTGGTGGAAGCCTATGAAAAGTCAACTGCTGTGGAAGTAAAACATGAGTATTGTTGTTTCTTCCTATTTTGCTTCTACATTACAATATTCTGCTCAAGGGTCTTTCTCCTGATTTTGTGTTTATTCCCTCTGGAATCATGGAATTAACTGTTTTAATTTTAATTGCTACAGTTCTCCAAAACCAATATATTCTGTGAAAAGAAGGTCTTGTCAGGCTTTATCTCCTGTTTCACTCGAGACACATCATACTTAGCTTGTTTATTTGCATCTCCTAAGGCTAGGTGTGCTTATATGTAAGTTATTGTTAAATTCCATTTGATAAGGCAAGATCTGTGCAGATAAATCTGACAATGGCTGCAGGAACTGTAGGAAGCTTGGGACCATGTCTGTCCAGGAGCAGGTAGATCAGAACTCACCCAGCCTCATCTCTGAACTCTATAGATGTGTTTTGGGGTGTTCTGCCCAAATTAATTGCCTCATTTACACTTCAGTGGAATGTTTTAGGCAGTAACTGAGGCACTAACATGGCTGTATGAACTCTGGATCAAGGCAGTCTGCACCCAGTCTGGAGCACAGCCAGGACAAGTCCAAATTTCCCTTAGTGTTGACATTTCCTGAATATCTTAACAGGCTTCACACCTCTGATTCCATCTGATGCCTATTTGGGAGGTTGCTATTTCCATCAATGTAGTATTTAATTTCTCCCTTGGCCAGTTTTTCTTACTCCCAACTCAATTGCAATCAATTGCCAGCACAGGTGCCTTTGTCCTGTCATCTATATTCATTCCTGCCCCTGACAGCCTGTGCTTTTGAAGCTCTCCTGCCCTTCTGACAGTCTACATCAAGGTTACACTTGGACAAATGCTCAGGTTACAAACACTCCTCTCCCTGGGACCATATGGGATGTGATATTGCTTAAAATTTCTGGGCATAGCACACCCTAGACTTCTAATCTTTTGTATTATTTCTAGTGGATATTGGTGGACAGCAGTCTGCCTCTACACAACCCTTACCCCTGTACCACAGGCTTAGTTTTTAGTCTCATAGTGCCTGAAAGATTCTGTCTATGAACCCTTGTATTTGACAGCAGGGTGATGGTGTAGTAACCAAAATCATTTGTAATGTTAGATGCACACAAAATCAAGGAGCACTACAGAAGGGGAGGAGAAAAGGTTTAAAAATACAGCCTATCTGTGTGGAAACCCTAGACCATCTGCCAGGTGAAATAAGACCTTGATTCTACCTCTGCCTTTTTTGTAGAGTCTGGTTACCAGCTTCTCAGTGCATCTTGCCAAAACTCTGCATAGCAAAAGAAAAACAGTTAAAAGGGGTAGAGAGGGATAAGCAGAGATTTACCCTGTTCCAAGAGTTTTATTCCTATCGTGCCAATGTTAGACACAATAATGTATTTTTTGCCTGAGAACACAGTGCTGCCAGCAGAAGGCTCCCAAGTGCAATCGTTCCTATTCTGACTTGCACATGTGGATCTGGATTGCAGCACCTCACTTCAGCCTCCCTGTACAGTCAGTGGAGAGAGTGGGACCTATAGGGAATTCATCACAGCCTAACATGGATGCCTGAGAACTGAGCTTCCTTGTCCTCTAGAGGTAGCTACTTAAGAGCTACTTTGGATTGGCAGCCTAGACTGGAGAGCTTGCAATGGTTGAGATGAATACAGACCCAACAGGCTGCTTTCTGCATTATTGCCAACATGTAAGTGTGAGCCTAGGTGTGCATGACCCTTGTATCACTATTAAACTTGATCTGGTCTGAGTAAATTGCCCAGGTTGTGTAACTCTAAAGGCAACTCTGCTAATTCAGTTGAAAACCTAATTTTAAGATCAGAAAAAATATATAAAGTATAATGGTCAGACCAACCAGGCATAGTTTGCTTGTACCTTAGCCTACTGATCTCAAATTGAAGGGTTGCCAATTCTGCATCAACATGTTTGTGAGAATCTAAAGGTACCAATTCCATGGCATCATCTCATTTTGAGAAAACCATGTAAATAGTACCAGTCTAGCAACACAAAACAACAAAAAAATCTGAGCAAGCTCTCAAAAGAATAGCTGGAAATAGCAGGCTGAAGTGTTTTTTGGTGAGAGGAACCTGGCCCTTAGCTTCTCATTTTAAAGGTGGAGAGGAAAAAACAAATGCCATGGGAGATCAAATTTGACCTGTGTGTACAGTAGATACTGAGCTGGGAAAGGAAATCTGATGAAAAAGCTGAATGAAGCGCTGTGCTAATCCCTTTGAGAAAGCACGCTTGAGGAGTGCTCTGCCATCCAGAGCAAAGCCGGGGGTCAGCTGTGACATTGCCCCCGGGCTCCCAGCAAGTTAACTGGGCTCTGCTCGGGCCCAGGAGGAGTCTTGGAGCATTAATCATCATGAGCACATTGTCTCTTAATCACTGCAAGGAGAAAAGAGTTGTATAATGGTTGGATATCCTGGCAGTAGGAAAACCACCTGTTGCTGACCCTCTGATGTGAGACTGCAAAGACATTCTCCTGGAGGAAAAAAAAAAGGCTAATTTGATGTGTAAGAGTGAATCTGATATTCTTTTTCATCTGTAAAGATAGCCTGCCCCTGATCCTGTTGATTTTCCTGTTCCTGGCAGCTGGGGATGAATGAGAGCCAGGTCATGTGCAGAGTCTTGTTTTGACACTGCTTAGATTGAAAAAAGGCATGAAAAGAGCCCCAGAGCAAGACATACACCTGCTTGTTACTGGGGATGACAACACAGGATTAAATAGTTTGGATATAGAGTTGTATGGGAGCTTTGACTCTGCCTAATCGTTTCCTAACCAATGGTTAGAAAAGCTGCTGTATCCTTAGCTCTTTCCTGTGGCTTATTCGGAGGCTTAAAGGATCCTTCTGAGCTGGCACCATCTTTTGTACTCTGCCTTTGCTTAGCTTAAAAAATATTCAGGCATGTAGAACGATTAAAAAGGGTCTCCAGGAAAACAAGCTTTTTTATTCTTAAGCACAAGAGTTGAAAATTAAAATGTGCCCAGATGCATGTGTGCACATGCTGAAAAGCTCCACTTCTCTCCTTTCCCTTCTGAGCGCAGGGAGTGAACTTGTAATTGTAATGTCACAAAGGCTCGATCGCCTCCTGGTTCAGAGACTATGTCTTAGTTGGCTCTGACCACCCACACGGTTGTCTATCTTATTTCCTTCACTAAGAGCCATCACTGGCTGGGTCTACCCCTGCACCTGACAGGCTTCAAAAATTGCCCTGATTGTCACATACTCCTTAGATGCATGCATGTATATATGCATATACATTTCAAATTCAAAAGTCTTTTATTTTTCCTGTTTTTCACTCAAATACCCAGAATCTTCTCATAGCTATATCTTACACAGCATTATTAGACAGAATTTTGAAGGCAGATGCTGCAAAGTCCATCCAATTACTTGGAATACTTGCTATTTTCCTATATGTTGGGACCATATTGTTGCAAGCAACATTATATTTTACAGCTGTAATTACATGGAGAAAACAGCTGTGCTGAGGGCAGACAGATTTACTGAGGATTTGAATGGAGACTGCTATATGAATAATTCATTTTTAATTCTTATTCTTCCTTTTTCAAAGTAGCTTCCACCAAAATACTTAGTTGTCAGCCAAGAGGATGCTTTGTGATAACTCCAAAATACTTAGTTGTCAGCCAAGAGGACGCTTTGTGGTGCTACATGACCAATAGCCCCTTCTAATGCACAGTGATAAAATTCTTGGTTCTGCTGCTTTCAAGGGGAGAGCCCAAATAAACCAGCCATCTCTGTCTGCACACCGTCCCTAACATAATTGATGATGCCTTTGACAAACAAGGCCATTGTCACGTTGGCTGGTGTTTTGTTAGACACGGAGGCGGATGGGTAGAAAACTAGGGTTTGCCAAGAGGGAGGAAGGAAAAATCAGCAGGGGGGGATGCTGTGTTGTCAAACATTCAGCAATGGAGGAGGCTGTTTTGGGAAACCTGCTTTTCTGTTCCTTTAATTGGGAGATTTATCAGCAAACTTCTGATGCTGTTAAACAGGTAAAACCCAGTCATCAACAGCTGCCCCTTCAACATGTAACATCTGAGTTGTTATTTGGAAGTGAACATAGACACACAACCAGGATTTTGGCCTTACCACCCTGGAAGCCAGACAATATACACACCCGAGCTGAAATGCTAAATAAGCACAGACTAAGGCATTCGCAAGCACTTGTATAACTCATCTGAAAGTTGTATATTTATTAATTCAGCTTTGATTTCTGACCCACTGGAAGCTGCTCCGTTTTAATCGGGGAATATACCTCAATTCCTTTAGTAACGGGAGCTTTTCTGAAATGCCCTGTTTTACCTCCTTATCAGTATCTGCCAGTTCTGTAAATCATTGTCCTGTTCCTCCAACCCTTAGAGTAGGCTTGGAGAAGGACCAAGGGGCCTGTCCTCAGTTGGTGATGGGTAGGCTAGCCATGTTCCTGCTGTTATCTGACCCTAACTCCCTGGAAAGCGGAAATAACATGGAAATAAAGACACTTCCAGAGGTTCAGAACTAGGAGAAACTTCAGCTGAAATTGCCACAGGTACATCCTAATCACAGAGATATTAGAGGGAAAGGGAAATCCAACCTGGATGTTGGCAACTTCTGACTTCTTGTCAGACCTTCCTGAGGTAAAGGAAGTGTTTCCTCATCCTGAAATCCATGACAGCCATTTCTTCAATGGCACCACACAACTAAGTATTTTTATTTTGGGATAATGTAGGCAGCCCTTTGAAAAACTGGGCAAATTCAAGCTGAGCAGCAGCAAATCAGAAGTGACCTTAGGAAAATGTCAGCACTAACGGGCACTCCATCACGCCACCTCTCCAGAAGCGACAGCAAAATCCCCGGGTTTGCTCCCAAAGTCAAGACTACTTTGTAGCAAGCAGGCAAGCCTGCTGCCATGCCCCAAGCAGCTCATTGTGTTGAGTACATCGCCCATGACAGCACGTGTATTTTCTGTCCTTGGGCTGTTGTGCTAGTGTCCCTTGGAAAGAACTTACTGAGATCTGTCTATAGTGGAGTGTAATAATATTATGAAAAATATTGGCATGAAGAACACAGGGCATGGTGGAAAAAAAAACCCACTATGTAGTAGCAGATCATAAGATAAATACCTATGAAGCAAAACTGTTATTTCCAAAATATATTTTCCTTTCTTTAGGGCCAAATGTAAGAATGCCAAAGAAAGTGAACCTGTCCTCACTACACATTACCATTCATTGAAGTTTATACCCTTTCCCTGTGGAAAATATGTGTTCATTTGGGCTCTTATCTGTGAGCTCATGAAGAAAAGTAGTTTGATTAGATGCAGTGATGGGCAAACTTCAAAAGCTCTGGAGGTTGTGCTTTGTTCAGATAAGCATCCAAAAGGCTGGCCCCTGATCCAAGTTATCCAAACACCTTGGGTGTCCAACATTTGACTGTAAATCTCTGTTAAAGCAGGTCTTAGCCAACAGATTTTTTTTCTCCTAACAGATTTTTCTCCCCCTCTCTCCCAAATGCATAAAGTAGGACTTTTCTAGTCACAAGGAAAGCAGAAAATGTATGTCGTGTTCACAGAAAAGTTAACAGAGGTAATGGTTATTATTTGGGACCCCAGTTCATGCAAATGAACCTTTTTTTTCTACCTGCAAGCTGTTTGAAAAGTGACCCACAACACAGGCTTTCTGAAGAAAGTGAACCTGTCCTCACTACACATTACCATTCATTGAAGTTTATACCCTTTCCCTGTGGAAAATATGTGTTCATTTGGGCTCTTATCTGTGAGCTCATGAAGAAAAGTAGTTTGATTAGATGCAGTGATGGGCAAACTTCAAAAGCTCTGGAGGTTGTGCTTTGTTCAGATAAGCATCCAAAAGGCTGGCCCCTGATCCAAGTTATCCAAACACCTTGGGTGTCCAACATTTGACTGTAAATCTCTGTTAAAGCAGGTCTTAGCCAACAGATTTTTTTTCTCCTAACAGATTTTTCTCCCCCTCTCTCCCAAATGCATAAAGTAGGACTTTTCTAGTCACAAGGAAAGCAGAAAATGTATGTCGTGTTCACAGAAAAGTTAACAGAGGTAATGGTTATTATTTGGGACCCCAGTTCATGCAAATGAACCTTTTTTCACCTGTAAGCTGTTTGAAAAGTGACCCACAGGCTTTCTACCACTGCAGCACAACCCTCTATATTATGGATATGTGTAGTTGGGAAAAATGTTTGCTCTTTGTTTCTTCACGTTATGTCCAAAAGATATTTTCTGGA